GAAGAATTAACAAAAAATGTTCAGAATAACGTCAATATTTCTAAAATTAAAAAATATCCAGGGTGTCCCATTAAAAAACCAAAATTATAAACATCCTCCAGTATAACAGAAAGTAGCAAATAGATGAAAATATTTTCAAATAAGATGAAAATTTTAATAACTCTTCAAAACCCCTTCATTGCAATTTTCATGATCCATTTATCTATGTTTCTTAATATAGTGGATTACCTAATATATCAAAAATGCTGAACAATACATAAAACCATATGGCTCAAAATATATTCGACAGACAACATTTGTTATAGAAATGTATATCTTTTTTTATATTTCTTTAACATTTTAAATATTAGGGTATTAATGACCATTGCTTATTTTTAGCAAAAACGTTATTTTGATATGTTTGTAAATTTATAGACGCACAGCTCTGAATGCATACAAATGAAATATCACAAACCACTAGTACCACTAGGAGGACTGGAGTCAGGCTCAGCATGGTATTTGGGCCAGGAAGGGGTAGGAGCCGGTATCTATGAAACATCAGAATAATCTCCAGTGTTATTTAAGTACATATGTGGCTGTATCAACATAACTGTGCTATGAAAAGTAAAACACTCCCCAAAGTAATTAATGTGATTTAGGTTCACTTTCTTGGGATGAGTATGAAGAAAACTAATAATCACAAGAAACTTATAAATGCTTAGTCATTTGCTTACAATCTTTAAAGCAAATGGAAAGGGTAAGGCTGTTCCAATTGTATACTGAAAATATTCAAAAAATAATGTCATATATAACAAATTGATGCATATTTAGGGTGTTTCTAGTCATGAACCATGATTACCTATTAAGTCATATATTATTAGATACAATACAATTTTTATTAAATAATTTTGTCTTATTTATAGGAAATTATGACTTAACATTGTTTGAATCATTATTAAAATATTGGTAATTAAAGAAGCGCTAACCCAATGCACAGAAGTATTAGGAAACTATTATCTAGGCATTAGAAATCGTGAAATAAAAATTTTGCAATTCACATGCATATTGCAGTACACATATATTAATGTGGCATGGTGTAACACATTCTATCTATCATCATATTCTACAATAAGAATGATCAAAAAGGGGGTTACTTGGATATCTATATAATAAAACAACAAAAAACTTACAGATTGATAACAGAGGCAATTTGCAATGCCCAAAATATACTATAAATGTAACATGTATGTTCAGACAGATTTAAATCAAATATGAATATCATAAAGATAATACAATTCATTTTAATTGGATACCACAGAAAAGGAACTTGGTATAGCTTACTGGGAAAATATTCCAGGAAAAAGGGAAGCAAAAAGGTTATTATACAAGCACAGGTAATCACAGATATTATCACTGGACACTGCTCACTCACGATATCATCTCTGTCAAATAATGAGAGTGGCAGATCAACATTCAGATTTGAAAGTAGAAAATGTAAAAGAAAACATCTGAATACAATTCCCAGCAACTAAAGGTAGTTGTTCGCTGATGTCATAAATCTTGTCCTTTTAGCACCTGATCAGGTAAAAATATAGCTACAAAATGGAAAATAGATTTGTTTAGAAGTCTACATATGTTGGAGTAATTAAAGGATCTTGCAAATCACAGTGGTCGACAAGGTCAAATGACCCTATATAAATCTAAAACATATAACAATTAAATAAAAACGGAAATATATTGAACTAATATAAAATGCAATTTACAATAGTGATAAAAATAATTCCAATAACTGATATATCCAAAATACAAACCAAAAATGAGAAGCTAAGACTTTCTAGACTAACATGCTTATTGAGACTAAAATACAGATCGCCTATAAATGCCAAAAAGGTCAACAAATGAATGGAATTAACTAATGAATACATCTTGATTATAGTTAAGTATAGAAATTATAATAAATCAAGTTGTTATAAATAGGGAATAAATGTAATGTAAATGGGGTTGGAATACTTACTACAAATTAAGGATGATACTGTTATATAATAATACCTTCTCTCTAGAAACACCCTTTACTATGTATAGGCTACCATTAAAGATCCTAGTATTTCATAATAGTAATCAAAATTGTTTTATAGCAAATCTTGACATATAACAAGTTTTATGTTGGCTTTACAAAAAAGAAATGGAGATTTGAAATATTAAATGGCAAAAAAATTTAATATTTCACTTACCATTTATGTAGCACAAAAATATAGAACATAAATCAATATTTAGCAAATTAGGTATGCAAAAATCAATCAAGTTGCACAAAAGAGCAATTGATTAAATTGAGTGGTTTCTGAAAGTTGTTACTTCTGTTTTAGAAAATGTATATAAATAACTTTAGAGGATGGTACCAGTGTTAATAATATGAAGTTTCTGAAAAATTACTGATATACATTTTGTACCAAATGGTACATAAGTTAAATGACAAATCAACAATTAGTAAAGTTTAAAGAACAGATATATTCATAATAAGAGATCAACCTCATAAAAAAGACAATATTTAACGGGCAAATGCAGACAGAAAAAAATGTGAACTTATTTTTCAGCAAATGTAGTTTGTGTGCCATATGAAAAATTTCGAAAGATCTTAAAAATCCTGATCAAAATAACTTGTATGTACAAACTAACCTAAAAATGGAAAGTACAGATGATGTAGATAACTATTTCTGGAAATGGTGATTACTTGATAGAAATTAATGTTCAAGAATAAAACAAAACAGAAAAATCTAACTGTTTCTCGAGAAGAGAAATTAAAAAGTTAGTATCAAATTTAATTTAAAATATTTTTTCTGGAGAAGCTGACGATTCAACGAAACTGATATACATTTTGAACCAAATGGTACATAAGTCAAATGACAAATCAACAATTAGTAAAGATTAAAGAAGAGATATAGTAATCATAATAAAATCAACCTTGTACAGACAGAAAAAAACTTATAACTTATTTTTTAACAAATTTAGTTTGTGTGCCATGTTATCTAATTGAAAAATTTCGAAATATCTTAAAAATACTAATCAAAATAACTTGTATGTACAAACTAACCTAATAATGGAAAGTATACATGATGTAGATAACTATTTCTGGATATGGTGGTTACTTGATGGAAATTCACGTTCAAGAATAAAACAAAATAGAAAAATATAACTGTTTCTCCAGAAGAGAAATTATAAAGTTAGTATCAAATTTAATTTAAAATTTATTTTCCGGGGAAGCTGATGATTCAACGAAACTTCTATGAATATTAAAAATAGTATTAATTTTCTTGCTTTGTATATTGTAAATCTTGGTAAATAAAAAAATACCATTATCTTATGCTGAACATATAGTAAACAACAAGAGACGAAGTAGTTCTTACCACAAACCAGAAGAAAATCTTCCTGTGATGGTAACATAACAATTACTCTTATTATATAGCACCATTAATCTCCAACTAGTGAAGTAAAGTGTTGGAATATTATTGATATATTTGTAGAACAGTATAGATTTATTGTTAATACATATGTGATATGCAAATAATGCTGGTATGTGTCAAGATTTACGTAAAAATTAGCCCAATAATTCAATATATATGACATTCAGAATTAATATTAAAAAAGTTTTAAACAAACAAATATGACAATCTTTCAAATGTAGCTATGTCCTGGTGAGTCAAAATTTTTTTAAGATATAAGTACTTACTTGATTCAAGTAAATAACAGATTTTGATAAGTATAAATATACTATGAAGAAATATGTTCTTCATACCATGAATAATCCAATGTTTTTGAATTGAAGGAAATATAAGAGTATGAGGAAAGGTGTTTATTATGAAATTTGAGCAAATTTTGGAGGTCTTTCAAAAATATTTCACATCTCAACGACAAAATCCTAGGTAACTTTCTAGGTGGCAAGAGTTTTAAAAAATAGTTTGAGTATTATAAAAATACACTGTTATCAGATACTTACCTATTAGAAAATACTTGATATAAAAATCTTAAAACTAATAAGGAATACAGATCATTTAGAGAATTGAAAGTCCAAAATATTAAATTATATAAATAATAAATACCTACAACTACTTTTAAAATATGGAAGTGCTATTTGAAGAACCTCAGAATCACATGTAGTTGAAAACTCCAAAATTCATATCATATTATAACAAGGAAGAAGTTGAATCAGTAGTTGACTGTCCTTATTTGTATGAAATTCAGTCATATGACCTGCACTAAATATATAAAACAGCCTTGAAAAGGTAAAGTAGAAAGATTCATTAGCATTTAGAAGATTGCCCCTACTTACAGTAATACAATAAGAGAAGCAACATGTAGAACAATTTCTACTGGTGGTATAATCTGAATGATTTATGTTGAAAAAATTCAACCAGAATATCATGAAAGACTCGACAAGCCTTCATGAAAAAGAAGGCACTTGGAGAATGGAATTGTTAATAAAATATACATCAGTCTTATACTAAAAGTAACTAATTTTAGCAGTCTTTTAACTATTTGACTTAATCAGGACACTGTGTAATTATCAACAAGTCATTTTATAACAGAATTTTACATCAATCTGAAACATTAAAAACTCTGATACTGTTTACCTATATTCTTTCATGATTATTACTTATACTGAATGTAAAAATTAATAATTAGAAAACTGTTAAAGACAAGATTATCAAATATAGGAGAAAGTTCAAAATGAGATTACAAATATGGTTAAAATAGAGAACAACAGAAACATCTAATAAGTGAATAATAAATATTGACTAGAAACTTGTTAAAGCTATAACAAATAATGTACAATATAGAAAGATAGTATCACAGACACAGACAGGTAAGCTAAAATCACGTTTTAGCTCTTCTCATAAATTAATGAACAGAAAAATAATCCTATATTTGTAATACAAAATTTTTAATGATGCAAACAAAAAGACAAATATTCACACTTTTAGAAATTAAGAAAGCTTATCAAATAATACCTTGTTTATCAACATATTATAACCTTCTGTGCACATAAAAATCTTAAGGCCAGTTATTTGAAAGACAATGATAGTAAGTCAGTAAACCTGAAAACAGGACAAGTGAAAAATGTTTCAATCTATAAATGAAATCCACAAATACTTGAGTGTTACTTGTAACATTATGAGATGTTAAAAAGAAAACCAAAATATGTAATATTCTGTTTCCATTTATTTACCTAAAGATGAATTAATTAATTCAAGTCTTAAATGTACAATTCTGTAACAAAGAAATTGTTAAATAAAAACACTTACACTACCTAAGTACTGATGTAAATTATCATATTTGTTATAGAATATCTTAAAAATAATTAAATAAACATTATTTAGTTGATTTACTAAGAAACTACCCATAAAACAAAAAATTAATCTGTCTAAAAAAATCCTTCTCGATTTTTTTAAAACGCGTGACTCTAAGATACCGGCAAGACGCCCCTCCCTCACGGACGATATTTAAATACTATTACGCGATAAACTCAAGGCAGGTGCACTCAAGCTTTCCCACCCATATGTCGAATTCCCCGTTTTTTGTAGAATGTTTATTTCATACCCCATATAACTCTTGAAGTTTAAGTTTTAGAGCTTCAGGAAACTGACAATAAAATTGCCGCCAGTTTTCCTCACCACATTGTTGTTTAAATCCCAATAAAACAGTGCGGATTGTCTGCTTCAAATCTACACGGATATTGATCCAGGAAGCTGCAGCATCACAAAAGAAGATGAAGTAGTTCTTGTTGAATTCTGGATGCCTTATAATCACCTCACACAAGCCTCGAAAAGCAAGATCCTTCTCATCTGAATCCCTAACATTTCGAACTAACATACAGCAATTCTTAACAATCACATCCATTTCTGGAATAGTCACATCAGGGCACACATAGAATACAATGCATAAGGAAATAGCTACAGTTTTGTGCATGGTACGAGCTACAGCTGGTGTTCTTAATATATGAACAAAGGCATTAAGGATTTCTGGAAGGAAAGGTTGGATTCCATTGCCCATAACAGCACATAACTTTCCAATCACCCATGCAGCATTATTACAGACACCATCAGTATGTTCATCTAGATTTTTAATAATCAGTGGAATGTACTCATTGACACTAGAAGCTAAAAATGGATAACACAATGCTATTAGCTCTCCATACAGAGCAATAGAAGTTTGTCTGATTAAATTTGAACTGTCTTGCATTGTAGTGTACAGCAAATATATAAGATTACTGTTAGTAACATATTTCACAAAATATGTTTTTAATCCTAGAGCCATACTGTACAAAACATCATGCGCAACATTCATAGGTTCCTTGTCTGGTGGATCATATTCATTTGGATTCTGTTGATAATTAACTGAAGCAATAAGGGTGTCATTAATAAGTTGTAAACAGTGCCAATAAACAATTTCAGAATAAGGTACAAATGATGCTTCTAAAGCAGGTATAACATTAGACAGACATTCCAAAACTGCAATAAAATGGTCATCATAGAAATTTTTGAGTTCAGTAAATTTGTTCATCAAAGGTGGAAGTAACTTATTGACATAATCCTCTTTACTTAAATTATTACCAACAGACTGTGCTAAAACTCCTATAGCATCATATAACAAATACAAACTACGACAATGAAATTGTTCAAATCCATATTTAAAACCTTCCAAAATAAAATCGATGTACGGAATTAATTTTAACTGAGCCTCTTCCTGAAATATACAAAAAGCAGAGATGGCAGCTCGCTGCACCCTTTTATTCTCATCAACAAAATGTTTTAACAGTATAGTCATCACAGGTACAAAATATTCTTCTGGGTTATCTGCTCTAACATTCACAATCCAAGACACATACCTACTCAATGTCCAACAAGTAATAACTCTCACAACAGAATGCTCATCATTCATGCAATGTATTAAAAATTGAACAAGTTCAGGCAGCTCAGATTTTAAACCATTGAAACAACCTTCTGCAATCGCACCTAAAGCTAATATGGCTGATTCTTTAATCAAATGATCAGGATTCTGTAACATTTCACTAATTAGAGGAATAAGCAGGGGGAGTATTTCATCACCAAACTTTACCGCTATAGAGTCTAAGGAAGCTGCGCTGCACTTTCTCAATGTCCATCCAACGTAGAAATCATCAAAATCATCACTTTGGTCTTCACCCTCTTCATCACTGTAGTACTCTTCTCCTTCAGTTGAATTATTTCGATCTCTAAAATGAAAGGGAGAAATGTCCTTTGATAGATCCTTTTTATTTGCATCTGAACCCAAGCTATCTTTAATCATATTTAATTCAGAGTCAGAATAGCGCATATTTTTTAAGAGAGTAGGAAGTAGTTTTTCAATGTATGGTGTAAGAATATCCTTACATGTATTAATTTTAGTTGAAGCTAACCAAAACTCACACGCTTGCAAAGCTACATCTTGATCTTGGTGATAGCATTTTTCTAATAAATAACAGATTATATCATGCAGATGGGGCAACAGTGTCTCTTCATGATTGTCAATATAAATAACAAAGGTATGGCACACACATTTTTGTATTTCCAGGTCATCAGAGTTGGCTAGCTGCATAACATGGCGTAAATATACTCCCAAGTCAATGGATTGCTTCATCACCAAAAAATAATCTTGAAGAAACTGATTTGTGAGTCTTACTATATTTTGACGAACATTACATTTTTCTAGACCCACAAATTCTACAAATTTTGGAAAAACTTCTTTGGTTATCTTGTAAATTTCATCTTGAGGTTTTTGACTGTTTATTAATTCTTCACACACTTTAAATAATGTTGTTAATGCTACCTCACTGAATTCATCTTGAGCTACAAATCCTTTAGTTAGGTAAGGAACTAATTCTGGCCAAGTTTTTAGGTTATCTTTAGCAATTATCACAATGATGTTACTGATACTGATTCTCACATCTCTTGAAGGATCTTTCAATAGGCGAAGACATTCATTTTTAATTTTCATTAAATATTCTGAACTTAATGAAGCATGTGATGTTTGGATATTATTTTTCAGTACAATTCCACTAAGGGATCTAATATCTTCGGAAAAACTTGGATTTCCCAAAATGAATAACAGATAATTTGGGAAGTCTGTCAAATTTTTCATAAGAATTAGCCTGTCCTGAACAGTTTTCTGAGCATCGCTATTTGGTACTAATGCTAACTGCAAAGTCTCTTCGATGTTTTTTATTATGCTTTCTTGAGGCCTCCATTCGCTCAAATTCATCATGAGGTCATAAGAATCTAGAAAAATCAAAGGTTATGTTGTACAAGCATTTACACACCTTTTGTGAAATCATATGCATCGTTATCGAGTCGACTAGATGCGTGAAATAACAAAACTTGCTTACTTACGTGTTATTGTGGTTCGAGAACAACCCAGATGTTTGGAAAATTAAAATTATTTTGCCACCTAGCACCACAAAATTATTGACAAAGATCGAATGATGGTCGACAACCGGCATTCGTTAACAAACAGGAGAAATGGGCGCCGTTGCCAACTGCACACCGTTAACTGCGCAAAAGCAAGTCGATGAAATCCCGGGTCGTCGGATTCCGATATAATGGCTCCGTGCCACTTGATATTACGAGGAACGTTCCGATAATTCAATAATGTTGAAAACACGTGGTGCTTTGAATACGGAAATGTCGTTGTCAAAATAAAAGAGAAATATGATACTAATGTAATTAAATATATTTTATATTAATCATAATTATTTAAGTGGCTGATAGGCATGATAAAAACTAATTGGACGGGCTTATTTAAAACTAACTTGTTAGATCACATTGATAATTTAAATAGATTTACAGATTTTTTTAATAATTATAGTTATTTTCATTTTAACGTATACAATAAACTAGTATTTTCACAAATTGTACCACTCTTCATAGGAAAAGTCTTAGAGCCCTGAAATTTGGTACAGTCTGTTTAGGAATATTTTGAGCGAGTCATCGTCGGAAATATACACCACAAAAATATCTGTCGCTCATTATTATAATTATTAACAGCTGAACAACTTACTGTTGCAGACTCTAGATTCTAACTCGATGGTATATTCATTAATAGGACTTTTCATCCAAAATAGTGTCAGCCATTTTTTCGAACAGACATTTTGCAAACCAATTTTTTTAATCGATTATTATTATGATACCTGTACGAATATGGAAGAGTCATACACTGTCTAAATCATTTAAAGACAATACATATATCGTTTTTTAACTTTTCTAAAGCCTTATTTATTTATTAAATAAAAAATATTATTTAATAAACAGTTATTTATAAATTGACAAATGCATGACGTATAATAGATACGTCATTATCAAATCTGTACGAAAAACATGGCGGCTAATGAAAAGTCCTATTTTGATTAACAACCATAGATGTAGTAGATGTACAACTGGACGACAATAAAGGTCGATTCAAACACATCAGTCCCGTCATAGTCCCGGCGCCGAACCGGTCTTTTTTGGTCACAGAACTATTAATTATCTGACAACTGGGAAACTGTTCGTCAACTGATTAATGTGAATACCGGCGGCATATTTCTATTAAAGAATATTTTATATGACGGATTGTTCGGTTCGGCGCCGGGACTGTGACGAGACGTGACTGATGTGTTTGAATCGACCTTTAGTGAAGCCGATTTTTAAAGTTTAGTGTCCTCGTTGTCCGCTGGACACAAATAAGGGGGCAAAATGTAAACATTTGCAATTTCACTTAGTTCCCGTGATAATTATGTGCAATATTGTGTGAGCGGATTTAAGTAAGATAATCTCGTGACCAAAAAATAATACTAATTATAAAAATAATAATTAGATAACATTACTTCCTCTCCTATTCCAATTGTATTGTATGTGATTATCTAAATAACAATGAAAATGAGAGAGAATGAGTATTCCCAATAGAATGGAGAATAAGGAAAAGCATATTCTTTGAAGGTAATGAAACAGAAACTGACAAACATCTGCGTCCGGAAGAGTTGATAATTGTGTTGGTAGGAGATGAGAAATCTAAATTAAAGGATTATATCCTATTTTATATGGATAAATATATAAGGAAAAAATAGGAAAATTGTTCCTAAACTGAAGCGTTTAGATTTAGATTGCCCAACTTTTCACGGGCCACGCTAGATCGCTTGCTGCGTAATATGGATTTTGTGTTTATAAAACGAGGCAGAAATTCAATTTTGATTGAAAAACCAGAAATCATCTCGTGGCGTCATCGTTATTTACGCGCAATTCGTAAATACCGTGCAGAAGGATACAACATAGTGTATTTGGATTAATCATGGGTAAATATCGGACACAGTGTGAAAAAAGAATGGGTTGATAAAATAACTACATCTTATTGCGATGCTTTTGTTCGTGGTCTGACAACAGGATTAAAAGCTCGAACAGCTCGTGGTGCACGGTTCGTTTTATTGCACGCAGGATCTACCAGTGGATTTGTTGATGGAGCAGAGCTCACGTTTTTGACAAAGAAAAATACTCTAAGTACTAATAAATCAGAGGATAAGTTTAGCAGATGAGCAACAGGGTTTTTGTAGTAGGAGATCGTGTACAGATGCAATATTCGTTATAAAGCAAATTACTAAGAAATCACTAGAGTATAATAGACCACCATTTCTGTGTCTAATTGACCTAAAGAAAGCGTTTGACAGAGAAGACTCAAATATGTAATCCATCTTCTGTATAATAGAGAAGTTCCCCTAAATATTATAAAAATTATCGAAAACATTTACCAAAATAACAAAATAGAAGTCAGAATAGATGGACAACTTACAGAACCTAAAGAAATAGGCAGCGGAATAAGATAAGGAGATTCGTTGAGACTCTTCCAAGTTGATCATGGATGAAATCATGCCCTGGAAACTTATATGAATGACCTTGGTTCATTTCCCCATCACTTTAACTCCAGCGAGTTAATAAAGAGAAATGAGAGCCTATCTCTCTCACGAAGACTTTAACCAAACTCGGGGTGTCAATAAAATAATCAAACGAAGCTTAATTCCGCAAGGTCAATTCTGTCAAAAGTAATGACAAATCATTCGTTTGTTTACAAGTTGTGAATTTTATTTTATTATCTTTATAATTTTAGAATTTTATTATTATCTTTAGTTTATATCGTTAAGTTGCTCCAAATGTAGGCAACCAACTTAAACTTTTTGTTATCATTTAACTGGAGTTTCTTGAGAATATTTTTAATAAACGTTTTATATTTTCCAGTTAATTTAATATTTTTTACAAGTTATGATAATAGTGCTGAATAAGCAATATTTTAAATGATATTTAATCACAAAACGTACTTTATATTGTGTTATATAATCCTCATAATACAGTAAGTTAAATTAAAAGGTAAAATCCCGGGTCGTCCAAAACTAGTTTCTGATAGGAATAATAGAATATTATGATATTTTTGAATAATATTTTTGATGCTATTGGATTATATTTTTGATGAATAATATTTTTTAATTTTAATATGAATATTATGATATTGTTTATCTTACATACTTTATTATATAACACAATATTAAGTACGTCTTGTGATTATAAATCATTTTAAATATTGCTTATTCGGCATTATTACCATCACTTTAAGAAATAATAATAAATTAACTGGAAATAATAACCGTTTATTAAATATATTCTCAAGAAACTCCAGCTAAATGCTAACAAAAAGTTTAAGTTGGTTGCCTACATTTGGCGCCACCTAACGATATAAACTTATTATTTGTTATAAAATATATTATATCGATGGTGAAAGTTCCCAACCTCCTATGTCAATTTTTGACAATTTTGTTTTTTTACCCTAAATTAAAGATAGATATGTATTTTTACTGTTTACAAGCTCCTATGTCGTTATTTCATTAATTGGCCTCTAGATCGCAGCAATATCCAGGATCTCCTATGTCACATGACTCGTTTTAGACTTCTCCAAACTCTTATGTCAGTTCTCCACGGACATTGGAGTTTGAGTCCGGCTTTTTTCACCTAACCTAAATTACTATTACCTTTCATGTCAACAGATTCAATGTGCATTCAACACGTGAATTTAAATTTTTGTTTGCTTTATCTACTTTTTATAGTATTCATATTTATAATAAACAGTTGGAGTCCAACGCCTGGAGATAGACGAGAGAATAGTTTTTCATTATTACCTAAAAATATATAATGAACGAAAAAAAGTGTGTAAGGAAATGTTTTGCAACACCCTATCTATAAATAGTTGGTCTTGCCAGAACTGGGCGAAAAACGGAGAACATGGGATCAGATCTGATAAAGATATTAATGATACCCCTTACACTTCTGGTGGTGGTTCAAAAAGAAAAGCTAACACAGAAAAAACTGCAAAATCAAAGTTTGCCGCGAAACATATCGACTCATTACCTAAGCTTGAATCCCACTACTGCCGAAAGGACAGCAGTAAGCTTTACCTAGAACCAACAATTTCTTCTTTTGAACAGTTGCATAGGTTGAACTTAGAGAGATGTAAGGAAACGGGACAAGAAGGACTGTCCAGAACCAGTTTCAGAGAACTTATTGTTTCAAAAAGTATTTCACTATTTACACCTAAAAAGGATCAGTGTGAAACTTGTTGTCAGCATGGTGTTGGTAGTTTGTCTGATGAAGATTATGCGTCACATATCAAGTAGAAACAAATGGCTCGGCAGAAAAAGAGAGGGACAAGGAAAAAGGAGTACAAAACAAGTGCAAAATCCTTTGCCTTGACATGCAGGCAGTAAAGTTGTCACCTTGCCTAAAAGCATCTGCACTGTACTATAAAAAAAAGCATTGTTGCCACAATGATACGGTGTTTGATATGACAACATTGGATGTTATGTGCTACTGGTGGGACGAAAGTGAAGGCGAGCTGAAATCGTCAAATTTTGTTGGCTGCTTGATAAACTATTTAGAGGAGTTAATGTAAGCTAGTCTCCTAGAGTAGATCGTAAAATAATTATTTGGAGCGATAGATGCATCTACCAAAATAAAAATAAAATCCTCAGTAATGCTCTCCTGCAATTTGCAGTTTTGAATAATGTCACAATACTTCAAAAATGCCTAGTTCATGGGTACACTTAGATGGAGTGTGACAGTCCATGCAACTATTGAAAAGAAATTAAAAAATAGAAATATCTATTATCCCACGAATACCTAGCAGTTACTAAGGAAGCACGACTGAAACCTTTTCTTTACAGGACTAAATATCTCACTTACGATTTTTTTAAAGATTTTTCTGGGCCGAATTATGAAAGGTAATTAAATAACTATAGAAGTATGCACCTACTACTAATATTGTTTCAATTTTACTGTTATTGAAAAATACTTAGCAAAGTCGACGTCATTTTCTTTGCTAAGAGACGCTAATTGTATCCGAACGTCTGCGGTCCCTCCGGTGAGTACCGATCGCACAAGGATAGAAATTATTTTCATTCATTAATTTTTAATAAACGAAAATTTCTCCACCCAGATGAG